AATGAAAGCTACAGCACCAAGGTGGACGGGCCAGAACAACCCAAGAGGACTGCGAGACACGGCAGAGGCTCAGGTGGCTCTCGGTACTGCTGGCGGGAAAAGGAAAAAAAAAAAAAAAAAAAAAAAAGAAAAGCATCTATCGGTCAAAGGCACGTTGACCTGAGAAGTTGGCCCAGAACAGTTTTCAGACAACGGTACTGTTGAAGAGTGGTGTGAAGGCAAGCAGACCTGAGAAACCCAGGCTGGTTTTAGGGCTGTCCTCGGAGGAGGGACGACAGAAAATGAACTCTAAACACAAAGCACTAAACATGTCTAAGTATGAACAGAAGGCACATATGTTGTAGAATAAATTATGTATATATTTTTTTACAAAACTTGAACTTGCAGGCAAGCTTTGGTTGGGTTATTATTATTTTTTTTTTCAACTTTTTCCAGAATGCTTCTCTCTAGGGAACAAGAATGTTTTTAATGGCTTTTAGGCAAGAATCTGCCTTATTATTATTATTATTATTTTTTTTTAAAAAGCTGCTGCTAACTACATGAACACAAATGGTTATTTTTGTTGCAGTGTAGTTTTTATTTTCTCTTGTGTAAATTTAAAAAAAAAAAAAAGTCAGTGTTGAACTTTTGGGGTTGAAAAGCTCGTGATCACTTCAGAGAGGCTGATGTTGCCAGAAAAGTCTAAACTCCTTTTGAGGCCAGTAGTTTGATAGCTAGAATCAATTTCTCTCTTTCCCATTATGTAAGGGGCATTATGTAATATCAGGCCAATCAGTAGCCTCCAGCAAAATTATGATTTTTGGGGGGAGAATTTAATTCTCTGTCTAAAGGAAAAAATGAAATAAAATATATATATATACACATAGAAAAAGTACTAAGTTAAAACTACCTAAATGGATACCAAAGAAAATGCACAGTTTTGCACAGCGGAGTTTATTTAAAAAAAAAAAAAAAAAAAAAAAAAAAAAAATTTTTTTCTTTAAACAAAAGAAATTCAAACCTCAGACACTTTTTTTGGTTTTGATTTTTTTTTTTTTCTTTCTTCTTTTCTTTTAAGACCTTTATTTCGCACCTTATTCTAAAAGCTTAAGACTCGGATCTAAAGTGGGCTAGGACTCCTCCCCTTTCCCTCTGCTCTTCTATGGGGAAATAAATTCCCTTCCTTTCTTGTAAGGAGAAAGGCAGTTGGGGGAAAGCAAACAGGCAAACATCTGTCCTCCCCGGTCGCTCGCCGAGCCAGGCTGCAGCAGAAGGTCAAGTGTTGGCGCAGACATTCCCAA